AGAGAAACAGAGGCAGAGAGAGGCTAAGGTCACATGACAGTTCAGTGGCAGAGCTAGGGATAGAACCCAGCTCTCTGGATTCCCAGTCCAGTGCCCTGGTTGTGGGACCCCACAGCCTATTATCTGAATCCTGGTAATAGCGTGCGTCACTGCATAACATGACACAGCCCCTATCCCAAAGGGGCAGGGAAGGCCTGGAAGACAGGATAAGTTCAGTTTCAGGGTGTAGGAGGCAACGACATGCCAAGATGCAGGAATGGACTGAAGGAGCGGGGTGTGAGGGATTTGGGCGTTATCAGCGTAGAGATGGTGAGTAGGTGAGAATACCCAGGAAAGGCACGTGTAGAGGGATAAGCGTGATCCCCGGATGGAGCCCCGGGGAAGAACGGAGAATGGAAACAGAAGCAATGCCCCTCTGCCATATACATTGGCCAAACCGGACAGTCTCTATGCAAAAAAATAAATGGACACAAATCTGACATCAGGAATCATAACATTCAAAAACCAGCGGGAGAACACTTAAACCTCTCTAACCACTCAGTGACAGACTTGAAGGTGGCAATTTTGCAACAACAACAACAAAAACAAAAAAGTAGCCCACGAAAGCTTATGCTCAAATTTGTTAGTCTCTAAGGTGCCACAAGTACTCCTGTTCTTTTTGTGGATACAGACTAACACGGCTGCTACTCTGAAACAGAGCAGCTAAAGTCTCCAGTGCTGGTATGAGACATTTAGGAAGCATTTGCTAATGGTTCATTCTCATGTATCAGTTATTGTTAGTTTGCTTTAATGTGTTAATTAGATACGTACCCTGCACTGCACACACAATACATCATTAAGGAGCTGGAGTTGTCACAGTGCATAAATTTGCAAGACAACATTGCCAGATTCTTTTGCAGCCCCTTCTCCTGTTTGGTGCCTCCTTGGCTCTAATGCCAAAAGTCAGTACTCTGTCATTGGACCAGCCCCGGTGCCAACTGGTGGGTACATATTCAGACCCACTTAATTGATTGAGACTTGTGGGGAGAGTTATCAAAGAGGAAGCTTCCATCAGAAACCTTTGCAAAACTTTTGAAGAGAGCAGCTTTCATTCCCTTCTCTTCTAAAGGAAATTGTTCCAAAACTCAAGTATGAAAAAGTAATTACATTCTTTCTTTTCATGTCTCCCTGCTTAATCACATCTGGACAAGCTGGAGATTAGCCAGAGCTGAGACACTGGAATGACTTAAAAATGAAAGAGGCAATAACCACAACTTGAGCTAGCTGTTTTGAATACCCCTTACGAACAGCCCCCATGAAGCCCCTCTTGATCTGCAGACAGGAGACCAATGTTTTTAAAGAAATGCCTTTCACTATCTCAGAGCAGAACCACCATTAATTCAAAGGGTGGGTGTAGCGATCGACTAGTCTAGGGAGAAAAATACAACCACCCAGGAAACTGGGGGAGAAGGGCTTTGGGTTTCTTTTGTATAACAGTTTTGCTCTGTATTTTATATTCTAGCTCCGTCTGCTTTCCTCTTAACCCCAGCCTCCCTGCTGCTCCCAGCCTGCTAGAACTGCCTCAGACCACCTCCTTCCCAACTGCTTTCAGGCCTTAGAGAAAGAGCGAGATCACCTACATAACAAGCAAGGTTTCTACACTCACTCAGCTCTCATTTTGCAAGCTACTTCCTTGCCAGGAGCCTTCATTTATACAGGTGGAATAGGTGATGAGTTAATAAGCTCCAGGTGCTGAGTTAGGTGGAGTTGGAGTCATTATTTCCCTCTAGGCAAAGGAGGCAAATGACACTCTTTCTCTGGGTTAGAGAGATGCATTAATTTGGTTTATAGCAGTGATGTGGGGAGGATACTATACCCAGGGCCGGTGCCACCATTAAGGCAAACTAGGCAGTTGCCTAGGGTGCCAAGATTTGGGGGCGCCAAAAAGCAGTGCCCCCAATTCTTTTTTACAGCGTTCCTGGGCTGGGCTGCCAGCGGCGCGCTGACATGTGTAGCTCAGACTCCCTCTCCCAGTGCAGCGGCTGCTCCACTTCTCCCGCCTCCCAGGCTTGCGGCGCCAATCAGCGATTTGGCGCCGCAAGCCTGGGAGGGGAGGAGAATTAGAGCAGGGACAGCGTGCTCGGGGAGGAGGCGGAGCAGAGGTGAGCTGGGGTGGGGAGCTGCCGCACAGCTCCCGGGGGGGGGGAGCTGACGCGGGGCGGGGGTGGGGGACGCCTCAGGGCAGGGAGCTGCAGCAGGGCTGGTGGGGGTGTGTGTGT